TTTTTTTTTTTTTTTAAAAAAAAAAAAAAAAAAAAAAAAAAAAAAAAACCAAATGCCTCCCATGCACCTAACAGTCCAGGCTGAGAGACCCGCTGGAGTGGCAGCTTGGGCAGGACCGTGGGGACGAGCGGGACAGCCTGCGCCTCCGAGCCACACGGGAGCTGCACCGCCAGGCCGACGGGGACGCTGGGAGCCACGGGCCGGCAGGCCAGAGCTGTTTCAATCTAGAGGTCAGCTGGCTGGCAGGCCCCACTACAGATTCCTACCCCTCGCCCTCTTACCCTTCCTGTGGCTGTGTGACTGGCTGTGTAGTCTCTTATCTGGGACCAGATCTTTAGGGAACACAGTAGGAGGATATGGAATGAGATGGAACTCACCTGGAATCAAAATCCCTCGCATGTAACAGGAGTTGGAGAGCATACACAGGTGCATGTGATGAGCTGCCACACTCCTCTTGAGACAGGGGTGATGGCCATTGAGGCACCATCCCCCCTTATGTCTGTTTCCCCAGGGCCTGTAGGCCCTTGAATGTCTGATCAGGCATGGTGGACTGTTTTGCAAGTGTTCAGTGGCTTCTTGTCCAATGGCAAGGTAGGAATGAAACCCAAACATGTTTTTTTTCTAGTCCGAAGGAAACTCCTTGGGGTCTTTATTGCCTGTATCTTGTGTGACTGTCCCACAGTCGCTGGTGACACTGTTCCAGCTGGTTGGCAGAATCAGGGAAGTCTACTACCCATCCTTGGAGTCCCTGGCAGTCTCTGTTGCTCTAGTGACCTGTGTACACAAAGCTCCAGCCACAAGTACTTGCGCCTTTGTAACTAACAGTCATTAGCAGTTCTGTAACAGCCAGAGCTCTTAGTTACGGGTTGCCCCATGCTGGACAGGCAGATGTGTTCCTTCAGAGCCAGCCCTGACCCTGACCTGCTAGCCAAGGCAGGTTATAGACAGCACTAGAGCAACATACATTCTTTATTAGAAAAGGACTGTCATGCCTCCCAGATACTGATGAAGGTTTATAATGTCTCAGGCCCATGGAGGCATAACTCTGAGGCATGGGAGCAGCTCTCACAGGACAGGGATGGGGTGGGTGAGGCTGTAGTGACTGGATGCTAACAGAAGCTCACTCAGCCACAATGTGGAGCCATTGATCGGCATGTGAAGCAAACAGAGGTGCTTGGTGGGGCGATGTTGGAGCCACTTGGCTCCATTCTTGGCCGTGGCCAACTTGGTGAGGCTGCTGGCCCCATGGTCAGCGATAACAGGAGAGCTGCTTTGCCTGGGTGAGTTCCCTTGCCTCTAGTTTGGGGCTCTTCCCCCCACCCTGAGAGTGTGTTACCGCTCTATGCTTGTGTTGGTTCACATGATGACATCAGAGCCACCTCTGAAACACCTAAATAAAAACACAAAATGTTTTCAGAAACATTTATGCCTCCCAACATCCTACATTCCCCGGGCCGAGGCGAGGCTCACCTGAGAAGGTGACATTCAGGTCCAGGTCCTGGGAGAGGTTAAATGTGGGCCACATGAAGGTGTGGCAAGGGACAGTCCACACTTCCAGAGGGCCAGACACAGATCGGGGCTGAGCTCCCAGAATCTCCATGCGCTGTCTGGGGTTGCCATGAAAGACCCAGGGAGCAGCAGGGGGCCCTGGTGGGGGTGGGGAGCCCAGTTAGTATTCAGAATATGGCATTGCAATCAAAAACAAAATGTTTTCTGGAGCCAGTTGATGGCATGGTGTTTAAGGCAGCTGGATCCCACATGGCTGACTGTGTAGTTTGAGTCCGAGACCCAACGGCTTAAAAAATATACTGGTACCTATGTGTGCATACCCAAAATCCAGAGAAGGAATTGCGCCACGGCCATTCCCCCTGGGGAGGTGCTTTCTCTCTTTCTCTCTCTCTATCCAATGAGCATACATGCCCTCTAGCAACTTAGCATTTTTAAAAAATGTTTTCTGAACAGTCTTGGAATATGGAGTTAGACATGTATTAGATGTGTATTAGTTAGACAAATTTCAGCATGTTCTCATTCCAAAATTTTAAATAAGATGTTGCTAGGATTTATTCCTTGGAAAGAAAAACAGAATAGTCAAATATTTGGGGACCTCCCATTTCCCCACAGATTTAGTGGCTTAAGACTTAGATTTAGTGGTTCTTTCACCAGAAGCATCTTTGCTGACCCATGTTGCACACTTGAGAATGCTGGTGTCTTGAACAATAGAAGACACAGTTATGTGCATTTTAAATGTCTGGAGCCTCAGGAAGACATGTTTCCCCGCCTTCCATGAACAGTGCACCACGTGGTGCTTTCTGGTTGGGATGTCGTGCTGTGCAGGAATCAGTCCTGGTGTGGGCATTACAGCTGGCTGTGTCCATCACTAGCTTGGTTTCTCACACAGATCTCTGGACCTGTACTCTCATCTGCAGAATGGGAGTAAAAATACCGCCCTGCCTGTCTCACGTGGTTGTAGAAGGATAACTTTCAGAGTACATGCACTGGGGAACCAGCAGTTAGCGTAATGGCTATGTCGCTGGATTCCCACGTAGTCGACCGCGGTTCGCGTACCGGACCCGGTGGCTTAAAACTCACGCCGGGCGCGTGTGCGTGCGTACCCAAGATCCCGAGAGGAGAATGGAGGAGAAGGGATTGCGGTGTGACCATCCCCCCTGGGGGGTGATTTCTCGCTTTCTGTCTCTATGTCTCTCTCTGTCTGTCTGGCGAGCACACGCGCCCTATAGCAAAAATCTCTCAAAAAAAACCAAACAAACAAAAAAAAACATACCAGAGTACATGCACTGTTGAATGAGGAAGTACTGTAAAAAGTGCCAGATGCTGTCAGTGTAAAGTATGATTAATAGAGAGTGGTATGCCCTGCATGGAGGACTACCAGGAGGGAGAGCTTCGCTGCCCCCAGTCATGGTGCAGAACTTCTCCCCTGCTGCGGCTCTTCCCACTGACTGCTTTCCTGGGCCAGAACCACGATCCTGGCTGCATCTGGTGATCCTCTTCCCTTAGACAGACTGCTCTAGGAGAGCCACTGCTCACTCCTCAGGTGCCCCATCAGACATGCCACTCACAACCTTGTTAAACTCGGGAAGTGTCAGAGGGCTCTTCTCCACCGGGATTCTTCCAGGGCTTTAGTGTTTAATGCTGGAGTAGTGATAAGGTGCCACATACACAAGTGCATTGTGCAGCTTCAGAAACCAGAAGTGAGTTTGGAGAGATTTTGGAGATTTTGGAATTGAATCACTGAATATGGAGGATCAACAGGGTTCCATAAGGGACAATTAGCAAAGTTGTTGGTGTCATATAGCAACCGGTTCACTGGACATGATAGCTCAGAAAGGAATGTCAGATCTTTAGACTAATTCTCTCATTCCGTGACAGGGGAAAACGGGGCCTGGGAAGTGATACTGCATACTGGTGAGGCCCTCAGCTGGCTGGTGGCAGAACTGGGTCTCCCCCAGTCTGCTTTAGCACTCTCATGCGGCACTATTTCCCATGAGGGGTGCCTCTTGGTAGCAGCCAGAACCCATCAGCACTGACCCCTACCTGCTTTCTGGAGTCTGCTTCTAAACACAGTTACTCAGCCAACTAATCGCTCAGCCAGCTGTCTTACCATGGGATGGTTCTTTTTCTAAGCAATCTGTCTGGTTTCCTTAAATTTTGTATATTTTTATAAGAAAGTGAAAAAACTTACCAGGGAAAGGCAAGATCTAGGGAAAATGTTGATCAGGCATTAAACAGATCTTATTCTGATGTTGTCATCAGAAATCAGAAGATAAAACTCAATTGTGCAAACACAGTCTATTTTTAATTTTCTTTAAAAAGTAAAACATATTCTGGAACCCCTTGGATACCTCCACAGTGTCTCCTTTTCTTTGAGGAACTGCACAGAGATCCCTCGTAGAGCCTTGGACAGGGGAGGCTACTCTGTCCCTGGTATGGATTTCACTCTGACAGCCTTGTTAGTTTGGTCTTTGAATATGACATTGTGTTAAGGAATTGTACAATGGACGCTTCTAGTGAGCAGAACTCTACAAGCCTTTTAATGAAAACATCCCTGAATTCACTGCCAACAATTGCTTTCCTTTGAGGCCATCACGGAAACAGTACACAAAGCTCCTGTTAAGTTACGAGGACAGCCTGACCAGAGAAGCCACTCTCTGTTGAAGCCGCTCACAGACTTCACAGAGGAATTGGGAAAAGACTAACACAGTCACTTTCACCCAGAGCAAGGCCCGGAATGAAGCTGGATATACTGCTAACAGTTTTCTTTGCTCCTGTTTACATTGCCATTTATTTATTTATTTAGAGAGTTTTTTGCTATAGGGCATGTGTGCTTGCCAGAAAGACACAGAGAGACAGAGAGACAGAAAGTGAGAAATCAAACCCCCAGGGGATGGCCATGCTGCAATCCCTTCTCTTCCATTCTCCTCCATTCTCCTTCATTCTCCTCTTGGGATCTTGGGCACGCACACACACATGCCTGGCATGAGTTTAAGCCACCAGGTTTAGGACTCAGACCGCAGTCGACTACATGGGAGTCCAGCGACATAGCCATTACACCAACTGCTAGTCTCTATATTGCCTTTTAAAAAAACATTCATTTTGTCCTCAAGCCAACTATACATGAGTGAAGCTTTGCCCTTAGTGTCTTGGAGTATAGGAGAGATACCTGAATAGGACACCTAGTATCAGTGGTATTCCAGAAGAAATAACTTTCTGAATTTAAGCAAAAGTTTTCAAAAAGGATCCATTTTCAAGTTCCATGTGTGAAATGCCTTCTATGTTTTGGGCCTTACGGATTTTCACATTTGGGGAAAAGAGAGAGAAGGTAAGTTGTTATTTTGGAAGACTGGGGTGTGTTAGATAGATTAAAAATAAGACTGCTACTGGTAGTAGTACCGGCGGCAGCAGCAGCAACAACAGCAATATCAACTACAACAATGAGCACAAAAAAGAAAGTACACCTTTCTTACACATAGCGCATTTGCAGCAGATAACAGATCTGTGTAGACAGGAGCCTGCTGTGCAGATGCCAGCATTTATTAGACGAGGAAAGGAATGGTTTATCCAAAGCCAGCATACTATTTTCTGTAGAGGGTGTGCACACATGTGAATGCATGTGTGCGTGTATGTGCTCACACACAAGAGAGAAAGCACCCTTCCAATGGTGCATGATTGCTCCACAGTTGCTGCTTCTCCATTTCTCCATCTCATCAGGACTTGAGGCGCATATGCACGTGTACCTGTTGTGTTTTTCAAGCCTTTGGGGCTGGGGTTTATAACATAGTTGGCCAGGTGGGATCCATCTTTTTTATGCACAACACTTAACCACTGGCACTGTGAGGCTGACCGTATTCTTAAAAACAGCAACAGCCAGAGAAAACAAGTCAGAATCCACTAATACTAATTCATTAATGCAACCACACAAAAATTAATGGCTAATAAAACTCCCAGAACAAAAAAAAAAAAAACCCACAGGCTTCAGGAGGACACATATTCCTGTTGCCCATTCATCTCGGAAGACGCCAGCTAGGTTCCCACACCATGCATGAATTTTTCCCTGACTGTGCTCCCTGTGGTTCCTGTCCGTTCCACCAAGAGGTTTGCATCTGTTAAGAGAGAACAGTGTGTTTAGAATATTTGGTATGGAATGTGCAAGGCACCTTAAAAATAGTTCTGAATGAGAAGTAGCCAACCATGGACACTGGTCAGATTTCAGATATAAATGAAACCAAGCCTGTGCCCAGAGGATTGAGTTTCTGGGTCAGAAATCTCAAAGAGCTCTTCTCTCTAGCTCCTCCTCTTATCCTTTAATCAACCAAGCACACAAAGCATTTGCAACCCCTTACGCCTCAGCTGTGAGATACCAGCCACAATAAAATTACATGGGATCTTATGCCAAGTATTTCTCCCCATGTGTTGACCTCATATTCTGTTTTCGAAAGAAGTGGCAGCAAAACTGGCCAGGACAAAATGGAACTCACCAGAGAATGAAATCATGGTTATGGAGTGGATTAAATCCTAGTATGTCAGTAGCACTGCTAGGTGTTATAGTGCCTTTAATGAAAAGTGATCTTTTTGTTTAGTGAGATAGAGAAGTATCTTCTTCAGTGTGGAAAATAATTAATAAACTGTTTTCTCTGGAGATGGTCAGGATAGGACAGTATAAATCAGCACGGGACACAACTTGTGTGGGGGAAAACAAGGGCAGTGGGTTTCAGAGCACCAGTACGGGGGAAGGATGGTTGTGATGTCTAGGTCAATGTCTCCACAGCCTTGAAACAAGGGAGGGTGGTATTTGCTCATATAAACTGTCTTAATAAAGAGACCAGGATGAATGTGTTTGATATATGATCAGAATCTTAGGTAAGTGAGCAAAGGATGTGTTTTGGAATCAAACTTTTGGGGAATTTGGTGATAAAGGGGAGTATTTATTTTTCAAGAGGAAATGTATGTATCATGTGAAAACTTTCTCCAAATGCATGCGATCGTATGCAGTTGTGTGGCAGTAGGATAATTCTAGATGGAAACTATTGCCACGGCATGTTTGTATTTTGTTCTTTGTAACACTGGAGTGACGATGGCATCCTGGCAAAGAGCGATTGTGTGCAGGAGTTGTAATAGTCTGTTAGCAAAAATGGCCAATAAAGGAAAATGGGACTTGTAATATTGGGTCATTGGAAAAGTCGTGGCCTATTTTTCTGTATATTTTTATGCAAAAATGAGTCATGACTTTTCTGACAACCCAATAGATTGGGGAGTGTCAACTAAGTTTCTGTCATTGACCGGGTGACAGTGTACACAGATAGTACTGGAGCCCCTGTAGATAAACCACATGCCCTGATAAACAGCCTCCAAAGTCCTCAAAGGTCCTTTTCTGTAACCCTTCAAACGTGTGGTTCAAACAGAGGAGCACATTTCCTATCAAAAGATGCTTAAATACAAGGCTTATATATTTGTTTAAAATAAAAATGGTTTATACATACACACATGCACACACATTTTTAAGATTAAAATGAAACTAAATAGTTGAGTTTACTATATAGAAACTAAAAATAGTTTTGTTTTTCTTAATATGGTTGATAAGGACATCTATTCTAACATCTAATAATAGAAGGCTTCAAAGAGTTCTTGAAAAAAGTGGAATTGAAATATGAGTTTATTTTGAGTTTGAGGATTTTTGAAGTATGAGGTTTTCTTTTGCAAAAACAAAAAAATCAAAATCCATGCATTCTTTTATAATATACATTTTCCATGAACTTTTTGAAGATCCCACACATAAAGCTTTTGCCTAGTACCCAACATATTAAAACATAGAGGATTTTTACATTTTAAATGTGTAATGAGTGACAGAAAAGTAAAGCCAATAATGGAACAGTCTGGAAGACCTGCAAGCCTTTTTGTATTAACTCCTAAAGTTCCAAAAGGGAGCCCCCTGAAGGCCCTGGGTTTGGCCACATTAGTTACTGCTGTATCCTCAGAGCTTTGGACAGTGCCTAGCACTATAGATGCTTCATAAATACTTGTTGAATCAAATGCTGCATGAAATTGGAGCCAGCAGGTGGCATGGTGGTTTAGATGCTGTACTCCCACTTGAAACTCATGCCAGGCCACATGTGTATGCATACCCAAAATCCTAAGAGGAGATGAGTAGAAGGGATTGCAGCACGGCCATCCCTCCCAGAGGGTGATTTCTTACTTTCTGTCTCTTTGGTGAGCTCATGTGCCTTATAGCAAAACAAAAACAAACGAACAAAAACAAAACAAAACAACAACAGCAAAAGCTCTCAAAAATAATGCTGCATAAAATATAAATTATCCTTTAAAATATAGAGCTGAATTTCCAGGAAAGTTAGGACAATTTTCAAGGATTGGAACTGATTTCAGAATTGAACACCAGAGCAGTCTCTGTGCCTTTAGGTGGGTGGATTAGAAGATTATCGCCAGAGTTGGTAACCAGGAGTCTTGGGTTAGCTCTAAGGAAAAGGGGGACAGGGCCTATGGCCCAATACCTGCAGGGAAAGAAATTAAGGAACAGGGCAAACGTTAGCTTGCTGGCTCTTGGGAAGGGGAGGTGATAGGGCATTTGCCCACCCAGCATGGGCTCTTGGATCAGGAAGAGAAGGAGCTACCGTGGCCTTTCCCAGGACTGGCTTTGAATGTTTACTTGTTTGGTCCAGAAATCCCCCAGGAAAGGATTTCACATTGTATTTGCACCTAAAGGCATACTTTCAACCCAAGTTACATACACACTAGGTCCATAGATAACTGTCCGATGAAAATTAACGCACGACATAAAACTTCAAACACAGCCACCAGGAGCTGGCATGTGCAAACACAGCACAGCAGTATGCAACTGAGAATTTCAGATAATACAGTTGTCAGAGAGACACTGTAGAATAAGTGTGTTCAAAATACTAACAGCAGGCAAACACGAGGAAAGATTAAGTCACTATCATAAAAGACCATATGTATTTTTAAAATAATAAAAGAGAACATTTAAAAATGAAAGCTTAGTCACTAGAGTAAATACAATGTGTAGAGAAACGTTTCTTCAAAAAGATTCTCAAACATTGCTTAATACATATAAAAGTCTATAAAAATAATCTCTAACAACTAGCAAATCAAAGAAGCATTTACTGCTCTTAGAAGTTCTCGAATCTCTTGAAAGTAGATGAATTTAAATCTCTAGTTTTCACATTTTTATGCCAAAGTTGGCGAATCCCCAATTCTCTGATTTTTTTCTGTCTCCATTCTTCTTTCTGTAAACTCTGGCTTCTCCCTGTGCTAAGGGAAGTGTTCTGCTGTTTTTATTTCCTGCCTTTCCTGTTTTGGGGGTGTTTTCTCCACTCATGACCACCCAGGTAACATCAGATCAGTAGAGTAGCATCCCCTGGGAGAAGCAAAAGGTAACAGAACGAACCAGTGGAAATGGACATATTTTTATTCCAACACTCCACTCTAATTCCCAGTTTTATAAATCACCTATCTTCAAGTATTGTACACCAGTGGGTAAAATATCATGCTTAAATTTTAAGGATACCTAAGAATTTTAGTATTACAGTGTTTCTATCTCTAAAAAGTACATTTCCAAAGTAGTGATTATCATTGCTATTTGGGCATTGAAAAGTAGACCTTACCAATGGAAAAAAATACAGATTCCTTTGTCTATTTTAACCTAAAATGCAGTAAGGTAGACCTTTGTGTGAGTCCTCTTAAGCAACACATGGAGCTGAGAGGCTTGAACCACGTATCTGCTCAACAAAGGAGCCTTACCCTAATTGCCTTGAGCGTGCAGGTAAACCTTCCAGATAAGGAAATGACACCTGAGCTAGGCAGGAAACCCCTAATAAGAAAGCATCTGAACTGATAAATCCTGCAACTTCTCTGATTCAGTGACCCAAAGAGGCTCAGTGTATGATCATGGTCATTTTTGACTCAGTCGTAATTGTGAAGCTCTGACCATCTCCAATAGGCTTTAAAATGGTGTAGAAGCCACAGTGGTAGCGAGGACACCTCTGGTGCACCTGGCTTTCTTCTTTCAGCCTGGGTCATGATTATCATGGTAGTTGAAGTTCAGGTGATAGGCACCCACTGACCCACTTCGCCACCTAGGTGAGAGACAGCAGGTGAAGCTATGCAGCCCCAGGTAACACGGGTAGCACCAGGGCTGGGGGTGGGTCCTCCCCTGTGAGAAGTCCCAGGGCAAGTTGCCGCAGTCACTCCATTGCTGCAGCCCACACGTGCTGTGTCACTCCGTGTATGTCCCTGGCTTGTGCCGATGTCTGTCCTGCGTTGTCACCTCAGGTAGAATTCCTGTTTCCACTAAAGCCCTTCCTTTATCCCACTGAGCAGCTCAGGGGCCCCCCTGTTTTACCTGAGCAGAATGTATCCATAGAGGAGCTACAGGGGCAGCTCGCGCAGGCGGCCAGACTGCATCAAGAGGAGGCAGAGACATTTTCAAACAAGATCCGTAAGGTAAATATGTAACACGGATTTCAGCACACCCTCTTCTTGGACTGCAGAGCTCCTAGGCAGATACGCCAAGACACATGTTGACAGACGCTGTCTGTCATGGGCAGATTCTTAAACTCACCTGCATATGGAACGATCGAGCTACCACTCTCAGGTGTCCCATAGAGAGTGCTGACTCTCTTCCTGCACCATGACCTGCCTCTCAGTGTTACATCGTGGTCTCAGGAAGGTCTTCCTAGTATCCAGTCTAAATATTCCTGCAGTGTTCCTGCAGCTGTACCAGTCTACACACTAATCTAAATACAGACTTGAAACGCACTAGACAGGGGGACCAGCAGGTGGCATAATGGTTATGTTGCTGGGCTCCCATGTAATCTACCACAGTTTGAGTCCCGGACCTAGCAGCTTAAAACTCATGCCGGATACCTGTGCACCTGGGCCCAAAATTCCTAGAGGAGAGTGGAGGAGAAGGGATTACAGCATAGCCATCCCCCCTGTGGGAGTTCTTACTTTCTGTCTTCTCCCCAGCTAGTGCATGCGCCCTATACAAAAATCTCTCTCTCTCTCAAAAAAAAAATTAATTGGAAAAAAAGTACTGGACAGGAAAGCGTGTCTATCATCTTAATCAGTGTTAGGCGAATTGTCTGGTAGAAATACCACCAACCCGTCATTGTCTTTAAAAAAAAAAAAAAATGCCGCTAATACAACTGTGGCCTGATTAACCTGCAGTTATTTTAGAACAGCCTGTTACTGGCTAATTACCCCTTGTCTGCAGAGTCCTTTCCCAGAGTTTCTAGTGGAAGGGATTTGCAGAGGGAGGTGCTGGTGACCCCAGGCTTCCCTGAGGATGGGAGAGGCCACCCCTATGTTGTGGCATCGCCCCTAGGCTCCGAATGGCTGTAGCTGCTCCTCTACCTTTGTACAAGAAGGGGTTTAAGTGAATTGTGGGAAAATGGAATTAAAGTACAGATTTATTTTGGTGCAGAAAACTTTGAAATTCGTACATAGTTGTTTTCCCTAATACACATTTTCCATGTGCTTTTTGAAGAACACTTGTGTTTGTTCTTGAAAGATGGCTGTCTCTTTAAAACAAAATAAGGCAGTTGGTCTTGACCAGGGTACCACCATGTTTTAAAATGCATATCCTGTGCAAAATAAGAGTGTATTCTGGAAGGTATTTGGGCTGCACATAGGTCCTCTTGTGATGTGGCAGGGCTGATCTTAGTGGGCCACAGACTCATTAAAGGCATGCCTTCTGCCCCTGGCAGCTTCCGGAGGGCAGGGCCAATGCCAAGGTCTGAATCTGCTCTGCCAGCTTTACCCCTAGTCGCACACCCCTTTTTAAATGTTTCATTTATAGGTCAAGTTTCCCATATCATTACCAAAGGAAGATAATTTCATATTACTTGAAAGATAATTACTAAGCAATTATTCTTTTTTTTTTCCTTTTTTTTTAAGAGACAGTTTTACTGCGTTGTACAGACTGACCTTAAACTTGCAATCCTGCTTCAGCTTCTCCCAAGCAGTTGAGATTACAGGTGTACGCTACCACACCCAGCCTAAAAAAAGGTTTTTTTCATTGCACCACATTTTTTTTTTTTTTTAAATGAGTTTAACACTGAGTTTCTGGAAGCAAAGTAGCAGCTGTTTCTTGGACTTGGATTCATAATAAAGGAGTGTGTGGATGAAGGGGCTTCAGGTGTGAGGAGATGTCATCTGAGTTCTTTAGCAAAGAAATGTCCCCTAACATGGCCAAAGGGCAGAGGACTGAGCCTGAGACTTGGGAAGCACTAGGGGTCACAGAGCAGAAGGAACCAGAAAGGGCAGCAGAGAGAGGTTGGAAGGAGTCAAGAGTGTTTCTGGGAGAACCTGGGCGGTGTTACAGGTGAAAGGAAATGCAAGCTTCTGCCCAGCAGCCACCATGTTCACACCACTCGGAGCACATCCCACAGCAGCCAGGGAGGGAGTGCCTGTTATTTGGTTGCCCCTGTGGAGGCCAGAGGAAGTTCGTCGCTAAAACAACTGCAGGAATCCTGCAGGTGCTGATTTCCAGGTTGCAAGGCTGCCCTTCCCCACTCTGGCCCTTTGGTGTCCACAGGGCAGAACCAGTGGTCCAAGTCTGAAGGCGCTTGAGATGCTGAAGAAAATTGCCACTTTTCTGTTATTTCAGCCTGAAGTCTAAAAAATATTGATATCAGGACTGCGGCCACACAAGTCATGCGTAGACCGGGGTTCTCTCCTGAGCCGTTTCTGGCTCTTCCTCAGCCTTTAGCATATTGGCTGCATTAGGGTGGACTTCAGGCAGCCAGAGCCCTGCTCCTGTGGTTTGTCAGAGTCAGTCTAAGACTTTAGGAGAAAAAAATTCACTGCCTTGGTTTTTGGCATAAGAGAGAATGCCAGATTAGGAGAGGACAGCTGATAACGATAAGGCTAGCATTCTTGTTAAGTTTATTTTTTCCATGGGAGAAACAGAGAGAGATTACCCCCAACAGCCATGATCCACCCCCGAGGCTCCTAGGCCTCAGCCAGCCTAGATCATAGGCATGTGTGCTCACTCAGGGTGTGCAGAGACCTTGAGACGCAAACCTGGGGCCTTCCCGTGCGGCTTCTGCACAGAGAGATTGTGTTATTGCTGGCCACTGAGGCTGGCTGATTAGGCTAGCATTCAAACCTTTTGTTGTTTTTCTTTTGGCGGGAAGGGTGGTGCCTATAAAGCATAGAGCTTTGATCCTATATATCACTTTAGCTTCTTTAGATATTATTATTTTACCCTTTGTTGCAAATTAACATTTTGTCTACAGCCTTTTACTTAGTACTGACACATAACAGGTGGGATCTTTAAAAAGTTCATGGAAGAGACCTATTTTGAAAAAGCTGTGCACGGATTTCAAAATGTTTTTGCACTAAGATACGTTCATTCCATTTCCCAAAAACTTTTTGAAGTGCCTGCATATTGTTTGTGTTTTAAAAAAAAACAGGAACTGAATGTTGAGATAGAAGACATTTCTTTTTCAGCAATGCTTTTCTATCCCTAAGAGATACACATATCTCCTAAGAATGCTAAGTCTCACGTGTGGAAAAGGTCACCGAGCTTTATCCAGCTTGCTCACGGTTGTGTGCATTCGAGTCCTGCACATTCAGAAAGAACTCCTTCTGGCCCCACTTTTCTCAGGTCTCGGTGGGTCTCACCGTTCCACCAGCCCATACTTTCTTTCTATCAGAGCAGTGAGGAGCCAGGGAGCTCAGGAAGTAACGGGGAA